GATGACATGGAGGTAGTTGGAGTGAGACAGAGGAGGATGACTCGCTGTGGCGACCCCTGAAGAGGGAAAAGCCAAAAGAAAATGGAGAAGGAGAAGTTCTTGTTGTTGTTCTTCGTCTTCTTCTCGTTCTTCTTCTTCTCATTCTTCTTGTTCTTGTTCTTCTTCTTCCTCTTTTTCTTTTTTAGACTGGGAGAATGTGTATTGTTTTTAGAATAAACGTAGGAAAGTTAATCTAAAAAAGTCAAGTCTGGTCCTCTGGACGAGTTCAAAAAAAAAAAAAAATTTGTAGAAACGTTTCTTCTTTCATCTGAAAGACTTCTTCAGTCTGAGGAGCTGTATTCATCTCAGTCTTAATAGCACCCTCTCATAGTGGATCAACCAGTTTGTTGTTGATTTTAGTTTAATTCATTTCATTAGTTTCCAGAAAATCGTTTACGTGTCAACAAGGTCGAGTGCGTCTGTCTCTACCACTCAACTTCCGGGAGCAGAAACGGACTAACCCAGACAGGGTTTATTTTTCATTTAAATGTTCTTCATTTGACTCTCTAATACGACCACATCAAATTCTAGTTCAATGTCTGTAAACCTGGTGGAGTTGCAGACATTTTTGTGTCTTCTATGCTCTGCTGGCTGTAGCGGCCATCTTGTATTGGGTTGACTCCAAAAGATAACCAGTTGTTGTACATTCTGAAAGCTTCATTAAAATCCACTGAATTGTCCATGAGATGTTTTGCAAACAGACAAATGAACTCGCACACAGATACAGGCAAAACCAGATGAAGTTATCATTTCTAGATAAAATGCTGAACGTGCAGTAAAGTTGATTTTTCCTTAAATCACGCTGGAGTTAAAGTCTTAGCTGAAGTCATCTTAGAAAAACTGTTATTTTTACATTTTAAGAATTATTCAATCTATTTTTTTGTTCATGAAAATGATCTGTTGATCCAAATATAAGGAAATAAATCCCAGACTAAAAGGACTTACTGTACTTAAACTCTACAAAGTAAAAAGCTAAAGGGGGACGCAGATTTCTGGGGGGTCGAGGATTAGAGAGCTTATTTCCAAAGCAGAGTGGGAGAACTGGAGCCTAATGGACTTTAACTTAGTGAGGAGGAGGTTTTCATGTTGGGATGTCCACAGAAGGTTACGGTCAGTACATGAACACAAGTCACTGTTTATGGAGTAAAATGAGAAAATATGAAGGAATACCAGCATTCTAAAGAATCCTAAATCAAACCAGTTCCTCCTATTGTCATGTGCAGCATTCCTAACATTCCTGAACGGGATGCAGCAGCTGCACTTACAGTCGATCACACAATGAGTAAAGACCCCAGCAGCTCTGTGGCGGCTTGTTTTCTCCCAGCTCTGCTACTCCTTGGCTTTTTTTCCTGTTTAAAAGGTGTTCCAGTCTCATACGTTTTTTTTTTTTGGTGGTTTTTTTGCATCATTTTTTCAAGCACGTTTGTTCTCACTTTCAATTTCTTATATCTTTCATTTCATCTTTAACATCTCCATTGTCTACCCTTTATCTGTAGTCGAGTTGTAGAGGCAAGGAGTCCAGGAGAGAAACCCAGTCGTTCCTCTCTCTCGCAACACTTCCCAGCTCCTCCTGGGGGACCCTGAGGTGTTCCCAGGTCTGGGTCTGCCTCAGTGCCTAGTCCCATTGGGACATGTCCAGTTGTTATCCACTGCTGTCATCACTCTTTGTTAAAGAAATCAGGTCTCTCTTGTAAATGAGTCCCCGAGGCTCAATAGGATTAACCTGTCTAAGTAAAGGTTGAATGAATGAAAAAAAAAACCTCCAAAGGGAGGCATGCAGAAGGCATCCTAATCAGATGCATGAACCCCCCTCAATTAACTTCTTTCAATGGGAAGGAGTAACATCTCCACTCTGAGCTCCTTCTGGATGATGGAGCTCCTCACCCTCTACGAAGGAAGCTGAATAAAGGTAAAATGTTGGCTTGTATACCTGGATTGAGCATGGACTTTGTTGCTGAATAAAGGTAGTTTATGTGGCCAGGATTCAGCACGGCCAGGGATCCTCTTTCTCCTGCTGCCTGGCTTGAATCACTCCCAACCCTGACAACCCTCCTGGTGGGCCCAGATGGAGGTGGCATCATGTGTTTCTTTTGGGCTTGGCTTTGGTAGCCAGGGCTTGACCGGTGAGCTTACGCCCTTCTAGACCTGGCTTTATGGGGGTGCCTTAGTTTCCCTTTTCTGGGCGAGGTATCCTGATGCTTCTGTGAATCCATCAAGGTTTTTGAATTGCTTTTAGTCTGACCTCTCCCTTGAGGCCTGTTTGCCATTGGCGACCTCACCAGGGCCTGATGCCCCAGACAATGTAGTCCCCAGGGTCATGGAGGTACTCAAACCCCTCCATTCTGCGGTGTGTTTATCTTTAACCTTGATCATTGAACATTGATTTTATTGTAACATGGACATTTCGAAGGCTGATTAATTTTTCTGGTTTTCAGGTTTACAAAAGCCAGAAGAAACCGCTTTCAGCTGCCGTGAAAATGAACGATTGTCTCATTTTTCTGTGATGGACTAGTCTCGACCTGTCCAGGGTATAACCCACCTTTTGTATAGTGACCATTTGAGATAGGCACCAGCTCCCCACAACCCAGAAAGGAAAAGCGGGTAAAGATAATGTATGGATACTGGATAGACAGACGGGTCACGTTGTAAAAGCATAAAAGTTTAGAAAAGCACTCCTGAGCAGATCTGTACTGAATATTAAAACCAAACCATTTTGATCCCAGTGGAGGGATGCTACAGTAGAACAGCAGTAACACTGTATGGGCTCTGGTACCAGTCAGAAATCTATACCACAGTTTTATGAAGTAGCTGCAGAAGAGTCAACTGGGACTGAATGCAGACCGATAAGTCGACCGCTACAATGAGCTAACCTTCAACACATTGTTTAGTATTTTTAAGCACGCTAAACAAGCAACATCACAAAAAAGTGTAGAGGTTTAATATTAGCTCATGTAGCGTTCTTTTACACCAACGTGGCATTTCTTTTCAGAAAAAGTTGTTTAACATACCTAAAAAACAACTTAGCTCCTTGTTTAGTCTATCCTTTAAGAAGGCCTCTGCCCATTTCTCCAAACTCTGATGTCATGGCTCATAAGGCACTAACTATTGATAACTATGTGACAGAACACTGCTTCTAAAATGAAAAATGACCAAACTATTCCTTTGACAAAATTTTATCAGAGTCAGTCAGAGTCAGAGTCAGAGTTTCTTTATTGTCATTTGCACCTCATATGGTACATGTGGTGGAGTGAAATTATGTACACATATACCAAGTATTATACCAAGTATTTAGCATGTGCATGATGATGCTCCAAATCCGAGGCCATGGTCTTGAGCCGGCAAAGGGTAGAGTTCCCTCTCCGGGTCGGGGAGGAGGTCCTGCCCCAAGTGGAGGAGTTTATGTATCTTGGGGTCTTGTTCACGAATGAGGGAAAAATGGAGCGGGAAATCAATAGGCTGATAGGTACAGTGTCTGCAGTGAAGCAGGTGCTGTACCTGTCTGTCGTGGTGAAGAGAGCGCTGAGTCAAAAGGTGAAGCTCTCAATTTACCGATCGATCTACGTTCCTACCCTCATCTATGGTCATGAGCTTTGGGTTGTGACCGAAAGAACGAGATCACGGATACAAGCGGCCGAAATGAGTTTTCTCCGCTGGGTGTCTGGGCTCTCCCTTAGAGATAGGGTGAGAAGCTCGGTCATCCAGGAGGGACTCAGAGTAGAGCCGCTGCTTCTCCACCTTGAGAGGAGCCAGTTGAGGTGATTCGGGCATCTGGTTAGGATGCCTCCTGGACGCCTCCCTGGTGAGGTGTTCTGGACACGTCTCACTGGGAGGAGACCCAGAGGAAGACCCAGGACACGCTGGAGGGACTATGTTTCTCGGCTGACCTGGGAACACCTTGGGATTCCCCCGGAGGAGCTGGACCAAGTGGCTGGAGAGAGGGAAGTCTGGGCCTCCCTACTTAAGCTGCTACCCCCGTGACCCGACCCTGGAGAAGCTAAGCGGAAAAAAATGGATGGATGGATGGATGGATGGATGGATGGATGATGATTCGGAGTGAAACACCCTAAATATGATTATTTTGTAGTGTTGGTGGGACCATAAACAACCATCTTGTATTAGATTCAAAATATGAACTCTAATTTTTTTTGTCTTTACTCATTCTTGTTCCAACTGTCCTTCATTTGAATGATCCAGAGTACAGCTAACAGCCTGAGTACTACAGAAGAGGTCCTAATTTTTGTTTTTGTGGAGAGCACATTTCTTAGAAACAGCAGGTTTGAATAGGGAGCAGCTCTTTGGGGTGGGTGTGGGGTATTGTCGAGCTGCTTTTAGTGACTCAGCTCAGATTTGTGCGAGTGCTTCAGTCCTCCTGAAGCACTCTGCCCTGTATTAGTTAGCATGCCAATTTGATGCCGTCCTCTGTTTCTGTGCCAAGAGACGTCTGCAGGAGAGATCGGCTGACTGTTGAAGGACTGGACTGTGGCAGACGTAGAACCACCAGGGTGGAGGTGTATTTTTAAGTTTGACCACGGACAGAATAGGCTAATGTTGCAGAGTTAGTAGCCTTCCATCTTTAGTTAGGAGAACAATCTTATATTTCAGCGTAGAAGCTGACCATTTGTCCTTTTTCTGGCAGCTGGTAACGCTGGGTGCAGCTTCCCCATACTGGCCTCTGTGTTGAAGTCCACAGGAATAAGAGCTATTTATTCAGTAGAGTCAGCGGGACATTGAATTCTAAATCTCTTCCCTTCCTTGCGCTCCACTGGCCCAATTATGGACCCAATCAGAGCCGCACCTACCACCAGGAAATGTCATGCACTGTGAAGGAGTGAAATAACGAGTGAATAAAGGAACGAGGGAGTCTTTTTAAGAAAAGACGACTCTTGAAAAGTCTGATACTAAATTCTTTACTTTAGGGTTAGGATCAATGTATCTGTCCTTTGTTTGTGATTCTGTTCTTAATGAACTCTAACCATGTCTTTTCCTCTCTGTGTTGGTCTGGTTCTGTTCATGATGGGTCGGCCGTCTGCTTCAGCAGGAAACAACCTAAGGTATGTGTGCGTCTTCTGTTTCCCAACTAAATACCTGTTCTCAGACATGTATTACCACTTGTTCTGGTGTTCTCTGATGACGACTACGTTCGGTGGTGATGTACGAAGATAAATGAGTCTCAAAGGTAGTTGCACAAGCGTACAACAAAATCCACAATCTGTATAAATGCGTACTACAAGATTCACAAATGCATGGACAGTTTTTCAGAGGCAGGCGTACACATTTCAGTTTTCACAAATAGGAATATTCTGCACATTAGGGCTGGACGATATGGCCAAAACTTTTATCACAATGTATTTCTTAATTTCGGTCGTTAACGATATAATTCCGATATCGATATAAACAATATAAAAGCCTCAGAAAAACTGTTCAAATTGCACAGATAAATTAATGTTCACCTTTTATTTTTATTTAGCCTTCAAAGACATTTGAAATCACCATCAAATAAACATAAAACTCTCAACTTTGTCAGTATTACTAGTTTTAACTTTACACAACATAACGTAACAACCCATGCAGCAAACGTCTGTTTCTCTTTTGATACAGCTGGGGGTGTTTCAGGGACACGTTGACTCAAACTTTTACTGTGCTTTATCTTCTGACTCTCAGAATATTCTACTAAGTGGAACAAGTTAGATGAACACTGATATATATTTTACCTCTACGTTAAATTTATTGGTCTGGATAAAGTTTTACAAGGAAATAGCCTGATCTGTCATATAAAACGTTAGCTTGCTAACTTGAAAGGCACGTATATGACAAGTGGGTTGAAGATAATTTATTATTGTTGATGTTTCTTATTTTTACTGATCAGTTCAAATGAACTTACCCTGCTCTGTTCAGTAAAATACACTACACAGGATTGCTCACTGCTTCAGCTGTGCTGAAAGTGAAAGTGAACGGCCATGACTTAAAAGTATTTCCCATCCTCCCTCTGCTGGATACATTGTACAGACAGTTACGCCTTTTCCAAGTAAGGACACGAGTTGTTCCCAGTGTTGATATCGGCACATAATGGGTCAATTATCACCAATATCGATAGATCCCCAAATGTCTATATCGGCATGAAACATCGGCTCCTACAGATAACATCGGTCAGGCTCTTGTAGTTCAAATTCAAGTTCAAGAATCTTTATTATCCCCAAGGGGCAACTTGTTTCACAGTCAGTAGGCACGTAAAACAGCCAAACTAGACAAGACATTAAGATGTTCAAGTAACAGTACAGAAATCATCACTGTATTGTATGTAGTACTGTATGTACACAAATCTCATCGTACACATGTGTAAATACTTTTGAGACTGATGTATCATCACAGTGATGTACCCCACAAATGGCAGGTTGACCCGCTGCTGTGACACCGTTTCTACGGACGTGATTGAGTTTGGTTTGGTTAGCAGGAGCCGGATAGATGTCCGTGTGAATGTGTCAGCGCTCAGAGAGCTTGTGAGCAGCCACAAAGGCTCTACAATGGGAGAGGGATGAGCGCGGACATTGGGCTTGTGTGTGTGCGTGTGCATTCAAAGCAGCATTGTTGGAGTGCACCCCCACTTCCCCTCTTGACAACACACTGGTGACTAGCTCAGCGATGTTTCACACACCAGGGATGGGCTTTGTGCTCCGTGCACTCGGCTCTCTGACTGGACACGGAGGGGGTGGATAGGCGTTAGCCTGGGCGGTGAGCGTGCACGGTTTCTGGGACATGTGAACCTGAGCTGCCCTGTAGTAACCCTCAGCCAGACGAGCACGTGGCTGTCTGCTGAGTTACGCCACACGTGTGCATTCTTAAGTGCAACGGCATCCGACTAGTTGTCATCCTTGAAATGACAAAACGGGGCTTTCTGCTTGTCTGCTCCGTCACCATTTGCACTGCTGATTAATAGTAATTGTCCAATCAAGAGTGAGCTATTGTGCAACCACACCCTGAGACTGGACAGAGACCGAGCAGAGGGCGCCGATTATCAAACCGGCCCTAATTGAGAACGATGGCACTTTTGTTCCTTTGAATGGCATCCACTCACTTGTCTGAAGTCACAAGAGCATTCAGTGATCTTTGAGCTTCCTGTGCCAACTGTGCAGCCACAGCCTCCCTGGACACGAGGCCTTATTGTGATTTAAAGGGAGTTCAATTATTTTGTGGAATTTGAGTCAGAGAACGGAGCACAGTCACTGCAGTCTGAGAATGGCAACGCAGCAGCATCTTAGAAAGAAAGACAAACTTCCAGACGTCGATCAGCTGCAGAAAACGACAAGGAAGATGTGAATGTTTTGAAAATCAGAACATTCCTGAAACGCTTGTTTTAAAAACAGCACTTTAAAACGTTTAGAAAACTACCACAAGGTTAAGACAGGAATTGCTGAGCTAATTTATGCAGAATTTGTAACTTTTTATTTAGAGAGCCACTGATTGCAGTGTTCATAGCTGCATATAAATATTTGTGACCCATGCTGGCAAAACAAGACACCACAAGGAATTTTTTCAATCATGAGGTATTATTTTTTAATTCTCCATCTCAAAAGGTTCAAAGTGATACATAGTTTGTTGTGATTTGGCGATTTCTCTCCTGACCTGGCAACAGGCTAGTTTAGTTTAAGAGACTCTCAGTTTGAAAACTCAATTTTCATTGGTCTCTAGACTGATGTCAATGAGATGTCCTGCCTTATATTTAAAATGGGGAATCCCCAAGCTTCACAATGACCTAAGCTATATGAAGGGATTTCCCCACACTACAGCAGCATCAGTAGATGGTGTCTTTATGGGCTCATTTTTACACCAATCTTAGTAGCAACAAAAATCAGTATTTTCACTTATTTTACATTGCAGCCTGCGCTCATTCTGACTAAATATGCCAGCATGGGCCTCAATTCTCTTCTAATTTTTGATTTATTTAAAATTTTCACTATAAAAATGTCAAAAAAGTTTACATTTTCTCCCTAATGTCTTTTGGTTGTATTGGCCTCTTGCTTTCTTTCCCTGAAAATTATAAAACAAAGTGCTCCCTTCAGTGCCCTTCAGCACAAGTATTTGTACAAAAAAAAAAAGAACTTTATAGACTAAACTGCAGCTGTGTCCAAATAATATTTGGATACAAATTACTTATATTAACCAGATTGTAAAATTCTTTATATATTTTAATTTAGCTGTAGACAAGGTAAATTGTGTGTCAAATGTTATATAGATAGATGATAGACAGACGTTCACTGCTGACCACAGCTGATTTAGAAGAATGTAGCTAAAAGCTAAACGTTAAAGCGTGTTGTGAGCGTCGTCATGGCTGTAGAAAATGAGACGTGTAGTGAGAAAAATGTGGGGTCGTCGTGTTAATTGCACGTTTTCATTGTGCAGCCCTGCCAATGATGTGCTGGAGCTGGAGCTAATTAACCACTTTGCACGATCAGATGTTTTAATGCTAGTTTACCGTCAAGCTAAACCTCATCTGATCCCAGTCAACAGTCAGTCGGTGCAGCGCTCTGTTTATCTCTTCCTTTTGCTCAGAGGAGGTCTAAACAGGTTGAAATGCTTCAGTGTATGTGCAAAAATATAATTAAGTGTTGCAACAAACAAAGCTTCTTGTCCCTGCTTGACAGGAGTCTGACGGCGAGCGTTAGCTGAATGAACGTTTAGATTGGCAGGAGGTGTTCAGTCGGTCAGCAGGTGTGGTTCTTAAGAGTCATCTCTGTGCAGAGCTGCTCCTGCAGGTGTCTGCAGGATGCCGGGCCTTTCTGCCAAAGCTCAAGGCTTAGATCCAGCCTGCAGCTCCAGGAAATAGCCACGGCCCAGTTTCCTTGGAGATCGGTGTCACCGGGTGCTGGAATTTATTTTTCATTGGAAGCTTTGACTCTGATTTATGAATTCATTAGACTCCAGCTACTTCAACCAAAAACACTCGGCTGCTGTCTGTCTGTGAGTCGACCGCTGAGGTCCAGACTTCATGAACATCAAGCTCAAACAGACAAATGACTTTTTCTGGAAAAATTCAGTCTGAGCGCTGAACGTCTGCTAAAATTTCCTAAAAATAGTAAAGCTAAAACAAGCTGATTATGAGCTAAAAGTTAAGAGCAAAACTATTCACAAGTCAACAATAACAACAGTAGCAAAACAGCATCTAAAAGCTAAATGTTGCAAAAAGCTAGTTAAAGGTAGCAATAGACTTGCTAGAAACTGAAAATAGCAAGATGTTAGCTAAAAGCAGAAAATGCTAGCTAAAGGTATTGAAAGACTAACTACAATCTAAAAGTAGCAAAAGCTAACTTAAAGCTAAAAGTTGCAAAAAAACTGCATAAAAGCTAAAAATAGCAGAACAATTAATACATGCTAAATGTGGTGGAATGATAGATAAAAGTTTAAGATTACAAATGAAAAGCTAATATCTAAAAGTAGCAGAAGGCTAACTGAAAGCTAAAAGTTGCAAAAGACTACATAAAAGCTAAAATAGCAGAACAGTCAATAAAAACTAAATGTAGCAGAATGATAGCTAAAAGTTTAAAGTAGCAAAAGAATAACTAAACTCTAAAAGCAAAAGGTTCATTAAAAGCTAAAATTAGCTCAAATTAAATGCAGCAAAATTTTATCTTAAAGCTAAAAATAGCAGAAGAGGCACTAAAAGCTTATAGTAGCAGAATGATACATAAAATCTAAAAGTAGCGAAAGGCTAGCTAAATGCTAAATGTAGCAGAACAGCTGGTAAATATTAAAAATAGCAAACGGCTAGCTAAAAAGAACGTTAGCTAAAGATTAAAATCCACACAAAAATTAAAAATGGTGCAAGTAGCTAAAACAGATTTCAATGAAACAATCATTTAAAAATATTTCTGTGAGAAAATGATTTGTTCATCTCCTGACTGAGCTGAATGTTGTGATATATTGACTAAAAAAGCATGAAGTGCACAGAAGTATACAGTAAAATAAATAAACAAGAAAACAAGAGAGTGAGCGCTGAGTCGGCAGTGAACCAACAAACACTCAGCTTTTATCTTCTTGCTCAGGCAAGCTCGGACGGTTAACTCTCGGCTTTGTGGCAGGGAGTTGAACCGTCAGCTCGTCTCGGTACGCGGCGGTGGACGTGCTCGGACAGGTGTGAGGACGCTTGTTTACGCTCTTTGTCTCATCTCCTCTGCAGGTGTTCGCTTTTGACCACTGTTTCTGGTCCATGGACGAATCCAACGTTCCCAAGTATGCCGGTGAGTCACCGAGGCTTAAAATGATCCTCGGCTTATTCCAGGAGCTCAAACCATGCGCTGTGAAAAGACCCGACGGGCTTCACGTTCCCACCGTGCGGGCAGGGAAAGTCCCTCCCTGACAGGAACCATTTTCTTTTTACATGATCCTAAACACAGCAGGGCTGACAGGATCATTGTATTTGAAGTATAAAGACCAACAAAGTTATTGTTGCTGTATTATCTTAAAGTATTTAGTGTCCTAACAACTCCTCACCGCTCGTCTGCGGCTCCAAGCAGATTACCACCATCATTATGGATGTTTTGTTCATTATATCAGTTTCATTTGAGGATTGTAAATATAACCAACAAGGCCGTCTGTTCGGTGAAGGGCCCGAGCCAAAGCTTTATATAGCTCATTAAACAGCTGTCCCATTCAGCATCAAGCTGCACAGAAGATTTCTTCACACAGTTTGATGCTTTCCACGTGACCGGAGAGGAATCCGCCATCTTTCATGACTCTTAGAGCGCTCTTCTCTGAAGCAGTGTTTCATAAATAATATAAAAATACATGCTTCAATATAACTCTGTTTTTTTTTTTTTTTCCATCTGTTTGCCATCGTCTCCATGGTGACCGACTCCATCAGGTCAAGAGGTTGTGTTCAAGTGCCTTGGAGAGGGAATCCTCGAAAATGCATTCCAGGGATACAATGCCTGCATATTTGCCTACGGACAAACAGGTAACAAAGTGAAACCTGCGTCAAATCGCTCGTTTAAACGTTGGTTTGATGTTTGACCACACAACCTTTGGGATAAATAGTTAACCAGCGCCCAAGAGAGATATTCCAGCTGCCTCGGCGCCACAAATAGAAGCAATCCGTTGTAAACGCAGAGCGGAGACGTTACATTGTTGTTCTGTGCAGTTTCTCACAAGTTGAGGATTTCCTCGTGGAAGTGGGTGGAGGGCCGCAATTAACTTATCCACCCTAATGCTGTAACGCAGGCGGTCTGTGGCGGTGAAAGTGTCACAGAAAACGACTTTCAATTCAATTCAGTTTATTTATATAGCTCCAAGTCACAACAGAAGTCATCTCAGGGCACTGAACAGAAACATTCATATACATAACAAGAAGTTAACATTATTTATATTTATCTGAGGAGCAGACTGCTTTGAGTTTAACTCCATTGCAGAACTCTCATCTTGAGCAAGCACGAAGGCGACAGTGGAAAGGAAAAACTCCCTCATGAGGAAGAAACCTCCAGCAGAACCAGGCTCAGGACAAGCGGTCATCTGCTTCGACCAGCTGGGTTTGAAAGGAATAGATACACAATGGCAGGTCGAGAATTACACGTTAAGACAGAAATAGTATCAAATGAAAACTATTTAATTTTAACAATTTCAAGAAATGAAGTCAATTTGTCCTCCAGTAGTCTAAAGCCTATGGCAGCATAACAAGCCAACCCTAACTATAGGATTTATCAAAAAGGAAAGTCTTCAGTCTTAAAACTGGACAATGTGTCAGCCTCACGGACAGAAACAGGAAGTTGGTTCCACAAGAGAGGAGCCTGATAACTGGAAGAGCTTCCTCCCATTCTGCTTTTGGAAACTCTAGGAACCGCGAGTAAGCCTGCAGTCTGAGAGCGAAGTGCTCTGTTAAGAAAATATGGAACAACAAGATCTCGAATATAAAATGAGGGTTGAGGGTTTTGTAGGTTAGAAGTAAGATTTTAAATTCAATTCTGAATTTGACAGGGCGCCACTGTACTGAGAGTTTAATACTGTAGTGTTTATCAATCCTTGTTGGTTTATGTTAATGAAAGTAAAACTTTAGAATATGAGCTTTTTGTTTTTGAGTGTTCTTGTGTATTTAACTCGAACCATCACTGTTGCCTCACAGGTAATTTCTTCTTTTTTATTTTATTTTATATTTTTACATCCCACAATGTTTTTACCAGTATCTAATATGATTGGGCTCAGAAATGAACTCACATCCTGATTATGGGATGAAAAGAACTCCGAGCTCTAACTGTCTTTGTGAAGTTGTTTCACTCGTGTCGTGTGTGCCTCCAGGTTCAGGGAAGTCCTTTTCCATGATGGGGAACGGAGAGCAGCCGGGTCTAATCCCTCGACTGTGCTGCTCCCTGTTTGAGAGGGTCCACGCTGAGGAGAACGAGGCTCACACTTTCAAGGTGGAAGTCTCCTACATGGAGATCTATAACGAGAAGGTCCGGGACCTGCTGGATCCCAAAGGGTGAGTTCTGTCCAGTGTCAGCTCGCTCACTTTAATGAGAACAGAGCTGTTCCCTCTCGGCTGCTCTGTTGTGTCTAGCAGCCTGGGTGGTGAGGCGGTGACAGTGATGCGAGCAGGAAGCTGACCCTGTCATTTCCTGCCGAACAGCAGCTCACGTCGTCCTCTCACACGCCTGCATTCTTCCCCTCCACAGTCTAGAGACATCTGCCACTGAGGCTCGGAGCAGGAGAGCTGTCAGAGCTGCCTGTGAGCCAAAGCTCAGGGTTTATTCGCACAGTGACCCGCTCTGCTGATGCCTGGATGAGTAAACATTAGCTGTGGCAGAGTCGGGAGATAAAGGGTGCAAACAGTCTGTCAGTGATTTGGACCTTGAGTCGGATCAGTTTTGGACAGAATACAGACAAAGAACTATTTCATCCTCTTCGTTTACTAAATGTGTCCAGAACTGCTGGAGTCACTTCCTGTTTGAAGGGGTGACCCCTGCACTAGAAAATATCATTTAAAAACATTCATCAGTTTTTATACAAATACTGTGTAACAAACTATTATTTGTTTTGACTTTTTTAATCCGTCATAAATTTTAACATTTATTTAAAAAAATTTTTTTTTTACATTTTAGGGGAAAAAAAGAGATCATAATTATATAAAGAAAAGGAATTAAAAAATAAACATTTTTAGTTCATTCTCCTTTGATCAAATTAAAACCCTGGACTATGCAGAGCTTTTTTCATTTGGCAGGAAACTAAAGTATCTTTTCTCCAAATAATAAAACTTTTGGTTCAGATTCAGCCGGTTTGTTGCGTCACTTGCTGAATTTTTCAAAATAAAATCAGAACCCTTAATTTAATTATTCTTTCAAAATGATTTTATTGAACATAAGCTCTTTAAATTGTTATCATCAAATTGACTTGATGATGGGGAGTGGTGGTGCAGAGGTTACAGAAAGCGAGTCTGTGATCAGAAGGTTGCAGGTTTGAATCCCCAGACCTGGGAAAGGTGAAGCACTCACACCTGTCTCCACCCTCATTTGCCCCGCTCTGGGCCCTTGAGCAAGGCACTTAACCCCCACCATCTGCTCCCCCAGGCGCCTCTAGATAGCAGCTCTCTGCTCCACACCGAGGGCTGTGGTAGCTCTGTGGTCGGTGGATGCGTCAGGACGGGTGTTCAGCGTAAAAAGCATAGCCAAGTCTTTGTTTGCTCGCTGTAGCAACCCCTGGGGCAGGGAGCAGCCGAAATAAAAAATCTAATTGACTGGATATGTAAGCAGAACCCGTTATTTTAATGACCTTTAAGCTGTTGTATGTTTACAATACAACACTTTTTTTTTCTTTTTTTTTTTTTTTGAGCTAATACCAATAATCCTTTGTCGTTCCCTCTCCAACCTGATTTTGATCATTTAAAATTATTTACTTTAAAATACCCATCAGTTTGTTCAATCTTAGCAACTTCTGAAATCCTGTCTGTGTTTAATTATGATTTACACGGTAAACACGTTTAAAAAATGCTTTAACGTCCTGTAAGGCCTTAAGAAGTATTTCATACTTTCTTTCTTGGTGTGTTTTTGAAAGGAGCCGGCAGTCCTTGAAGGTCCGTGAACACAAAGTCCTGGGTCCGTATGTGGACGGTCTGTCTCAGCTGGCTGTAACAAACTTCGAGGTTGGTTTTCTGTCTGTTGTCATGTTGCACCCAGAGCTGCACCCTGTGCTGCACCCACACCACCACCACACAGTGAGGCGCCTCATACCTCACCTCCACATCTTCATGGTTTATTCCAACGATCCTTCATTACATTCAGGCCTCACTTTATCTAAAGTCTCAGAACACTGATTGAAGTCTGGACTCTGGAGCAGGAGCTGGATTGGTGGTGTGGCTGTAGTGATGTGGTGTTTAGTTTACATGGCAGGTCCTTCCTTAGTGATGTTCACACATCTCCACCCTGGTCCTCTGGGCTCGGCGCTGCCTGATGTTGGTCCGGTGGACCGGCTGCCTGGTTTGACCCGGCTACATGAACTGAATCACGTGTGAAAACCTCCTGCTGGCAGTCAAAACGATCGAAGCGTTGTAGAGCTGTTGTTGTCCATCTGTCCTTTCAGAGGACAGCAGTAACGAATACCTTTCTTCATCTTCTGCTCTGTTCAGGACATCGAGGTGCTGATGTCGGAGGGGAACAAATCTCGCACGGTTGCAGCCACCAACATGAACGAGGAGAGCAGTCGATCACACGCCGTCTTCAGCATCATCGTCACTCAAACGCTCTACGACCTGCAGTCTGGAGTCAGTCTCTTCCTTTTGCTCTCTTACTTTGTGGATGCTTTTTCAGCAGGACTTTTAATTTGTGTAACTTTAACACTTTTTAAAACATTTAGCTTTATTTACCAGTATTTGTCCTGCAGAAATACTTTGACCTTGACTCAGTTTCTTCAAAAACATTGCTCTCTTTGAGATCTGCTTCAGCAGACTGGCTCTATTTTTTTAACTTTTTCTGCTACTTTTAGCTACTTTTACCTAATTTTCTGCTGCATTTAGCTTTTAGTTAGCCTTTAGCTCTTTAAGATGCTGCTACTACTCTCCTACTATTAACTTATAATGTGTTTTATTACTCAGGTTTTATCTACCTTTTTGATACTTTTACCTAATTTTCAGCAGCATTTAGCTTTTAGCTAGTATTTTGCTTATTTTAGCTTTTAGTTAGTGTTTTGCTTGTTTTAATTTGGCTAGCCTTTTACTACTTTTAGCTTTTAGATAGTGTTTTGCTTGTTTTATCTTTTAGCTTGCCTTTTGCTAACTTTAGCTTCTAGCTAGCTTCTTACTACTTTTAGCTAGCCTATGTTACTTTTAGCTTTTAGTTAGTGTTTTGCTTGTTTTGCTTATAGCTAGCCTTTTGCTACTTTTAGCTTTTAGTTAGTGTTTTGCTTATAGCTAGCCTTTTGTTACCTTTAGCTTCTAGCAACCCTTTTACCTTTTTAGCTAGTTCTTTTTTTTTTTTTTACTTTTAGCTTTTAGGTAGTGTTCTACCTTTTTATATTGAACAGTTCAGTTGGAGCTTCTTCAGCTGTCATTCAGCTCTCAGCATTAATGCCCCTTTATGTGTAAAATATCGTTTTTCTCATAGTTCAGTGTCGTGAACACATTTTGTTTTGAAGCTGACTCTCTTGAGTGTTTCTGGGCATGTTGTTAGAATTCAGGGGAAAAAGTGAGCAAGATGAGCCTGGTGGACCTGGCAGGAAGTGAGCGTGTCTCCAAGACCGGAGCCGCTGGAGAGCGACTCAAAGAAGGCAGCAACATAAACAAGTGGGTCTTTGTTTTTTTTATCATCTCATGCAGTTTGAAGGTTGAATGGGTCAGTGTTGGACGTCCTCAGATTTGTTCCTCTGCTGTTTTAGGTCCCTGACCACGTTAGGATGTGTGATTTCTGCCCTGGCTGATCAGTCTGCAGGGAAGGGGAAGGCCAAGTTTGTGCCTTACAGAGACTCGGTCCTCACCTGGCTGCTGAAGGTCCGACCCACAACTCACACATTTACATTCAAACTGTCAGGACTTGTTTACTCCTGACATACAGCAAACACTGTTCCTGTGCTGTGTTATATTGGTAATACTTTAAAGGGCTGGAAAATTGGCAAAATAACAAAAGAATAGGCATATTTAGTACAAGTTATTGTTAGTCAACAGCGTTTTATAAATATTCTTTGAAATACTTACCCAGACATGTTTGTTCAATTTAAATAAAAACTAAATTTAATGGTGTCACTAACATTTCCTGCCATGCTGCAAAAGGTTTAGACTAAAGTGTAATCTGTACGTGCTCTGGGTACGTGTTGGGAATAAGACTCAGCAACTACCACTCCAGATTTGATCCCTGCAGCCGAAGAATCGACGGAGTCACAGCTATCTTTGTGTTCGCTAACGCTGATTAGCTGTGACAGCCATCTGGAAATCAGTTGTAGATGTACATCTGGTGATTAGTTTCTGAGCGTTTCATTAAAATCTGTTCAATGGTTCATGAGATATTTTACTAACACAGACAAATGAACAAAAGCACACACAGTTACATGACTGTTTGCCTCACATGGTGACAACTCTTTAATATTTATGGTAAAATGTTAAAGACGTCAAATCTGTCCTTAAATGGTGTGGGAATAAACCCGAGTTTAAAATAATCTGGATCTAGTCAAAGATAAACGTATTAATCCTGTGGAGACAAATCTGAGCAGCTCTGCTTCTTTGTGATGTTCTCCGGTGACTTCAGGACAACCTCGGCGGGAACAGTAAGACGGCCATGATAGCCACGGTGAGTCCAGCCGCAGATAACTACGAGGAAACTCTTTCCACGCTGCGCTACGCCGACAGGGCCAAGAGGATCGTCAACCACGCCGTGGTGAACGAAGACCCCAATGCTCGCATCATCCGAGAGCTCCGAGAGGAGGTGGAGAAGCTCAAGGTCCAGCTCTCTCAGGCCGAGGTGAGACCAGCGCAGATCGTCAGTCTGCTACCGCCGGCTCTGACGGCAACAAAATGACTGGATCTGTTTTCAGTCCATGAAAGCTCCGGAGCTGAAGGAGAAGCTGCAGGAGTCAGAGAAGCTCATTCAGGAGATGACCGTCACCTGGGAGGAGAAGCTGAGGAAGACAGAAGAGATTGCTGCTGTGAGCTCACGAGTCCCTTACACTCTTAAAAAAACGAGTCAGTCTGGGTCAGTTTTACACTTTTATCTGTTTACAGGAGCGACAGAAGCAGCTGGAGAGCATGGGCATCTCTTTGGAAACGTCCGGGATCAAAGTGGGTGAAGACAAGTGCTTCCTGGTCAATCTGAACGCTGATCCCGCCTTAAACGAGCTGCTAGTTTACTACCTGAAGGTGGGTGTGGTCAGGGAACCTCCAGAGGTTCTAGAGGTTCAGCTCTGCTGTGAACGCACCATAAACTGAAGTTGTTTTTAACTGGGCTGACACAGACGAAGGAACAACAATTCTAACAGCTGGAATCATTTATTTGGCAACGTTTCTATCCAGCTTCAGTCGGGGGGACCTCAAACCCTTTTGGAACTTGTAATCTCAAACCCGTCTCGAGCTCCTCTCAACTTAGTTTCTTTACCTACAGAGTGCTAGAGCTGTATTTACTTTTTTGCTATATCCAAACTCCTGGAGAATTTTAGCCCCCAGTCCCAGATCTTGACCAAGTTTGTACAAATTTATAATTCAGTGCGATTCCATGTAAAAAAAAAAAATACAAATAAAAGTTGCATTTTTGTTTCCAACAAAAATTTCCCCATCAGTGAAATTCTACCTGAAGAGTTCGGACTCTCCTTTTTTTAATCTTTGTTGAAAGTCTCTGCTGCCTCGCACCTTTGATGTACACAAAACTACTTTATTACAACGACAACAGCAAAAAGATAAAAATGTATATTTTGCAATAGTCAACTCATCATAAAATATAAGGCAACAGTGTTAAATGTTATAATCTTTTTACTTTATGTTGTGTTTTGCCTCTTTAATTATAAATGTATTAGTCAAATACACGTATTAAACATTTTAAGTCAGTACTGCAGTTCTTCTTGTTGCCGCTCATCTGCCTCTTTGTTTTTATTTAGCTGAAAAACACAAAACGTCTGCTCAGCGTCAGTGGTGTTTGGTTATGCTCAGGGGCTTCACCAACATGGTGGCCATTGGCGTCTGGGGGTCCTCCCCCAGAAAATTTTGAATAAAGTAGATGCCATTTTCTGCGTTCTGGTGTATTTTAACGGTTGTTAAACATCTACGTTTACCTACATTAGTAAACACTTGATTCAATAACTCTTTTAGAGTTAATGGCACAACAAGAAGTAGCCTGACCAACAGCTCTCCTTGTGTGAATAGAGCATGCTCCGCTTCTCTCAAAAGTCTCATCGTCATTCATTTGGGGAAGTTCCTGATTCGTTTAAAATGTCAAGCTAATGAACCTTGACTGGCTTCTTATTTTTATTAAAATATATAAAGTGGCTCGTGGTGCTTCATTAGCAAACGTGCATGAACACTTGAGGCAAACCCAGCTGTTCCTGGAGCGCAGAGATTGGGTTCACGAGTTCTTTAGAACCCGTCAGTATGTTCATTTCATGTGTAAATCGGCTGCTTTAAATCAGTTGTTGGAACATTTATGAGCAGTGGATAAAATCACTTACTTAATCATGCCAGGATAAATGTTGTATTTATTTCTTATAAGACATTTTGCATAGATAAACAGCAGAATTGATAAAATAACAGCAGCAGCGGCTTTTTGTGGGAACTGACTGACCAAGACATAAAACATCTCCTTATGGCTGAAGAACTTGTACAAAAGCAATAAATAGTTGTTACAAGTGAAAATACTTCACCCTGAATGTGTCTTTCCCTCACACTAACCCTTGACTGAGGTCTGCAAATATTTTCCGTTTAATCAAATGATCATGTGAGGATACTTAAGAAGAGTCCAGTAAAATCTGTTTTGGAACGGTCAGCCGGCTGGTTGGACCTGTAAAAGCAGAGTCATGTGAGGAACCAGCAAACAGAACAACACCTCTTCAGGTCAGCCTGGCGTATCAGTGAGGAATGACTGCAGTGACGTGAACTGGGTCAGAACCTCCTCTAGAAGCTGGGATGTTTGCTCAACAGCAACCAATGAGTTTTCACAGAGTTTTTTTTTACCTTAGTTGTGACTTTGCTTGTCTGCCAAAAAGTTGCTGTGTTGATGTTTGGGTGAGTAGTCTGGACTCAGCTGTGTTTAACTTGGTCCCTCTGTCTGTAGGAGCACACGCGTGTGGGGGCAGACACGTCTCAGGACGTCCAGCTCTTTGGGATCGGGATCCAGCCGAAACACTGCGTCCTGGAGCTCTGCCCGGACGGTGACGTCACCTTGATGCCACTGGGGAATGCCAGGTGATCTGTCTGCTTCATGGATGACTGGACGTCAGAGTTTCACATGACTTCACCGCACAGGAATCTCATTCTCCCTCACTTTGATATCAGATCCACGTCTCCCTCCAGCTTCAAAAAGAAGTGCTCTTTCCGAGTTAGACCTCGAGATTATCGCAAAAAAGGGTTAAATCATGTCATCTGAACCCTCTACTTGTAGCTAACTTTGTGCTGCTGTTTCTAAGCTTAGACTACTTTTAACAAGCCATTTGCTGTTTTAAGGTATTAGATAGTGTTTTCAAGTGTTTATAAAGGATTGAATCAAACTGGTCTAGATGACATGATTTAACCCTTTTTTGTAATTTATCTACCGACATGATTGAGCTGTCAAACCTTTTTTTTTTTTTAACCTGAAGATTACCTTTGTTTTCTGCAGAACCTGCGTGAACGGCACAGTGGTCGACACCTTGGTGCACTTGTGGCACGGAGACCGGATACTATGGGGGAACAATCACTTCTTCAGGTGTGAACATTTAGAAAAGTTACAAAGCAGGAAAGAAAAATATTTGATTCTGTTTTTTTGTTGTTGTTTTCTGCTAGGATAAACCTCCCTCAACGAAAGCGGCGGGACCGTTTGAAGGAGCTGGAGCGAGCCTCGCCCAGGGAGAGCTTTGTCGAGGCGGACGTGGAAACAGCCAGCGAGGCCTCCTCTGAGCCGGACTACAGCTATGAGTTTGCCCAGATGGAGGTCATCATGAAGACTCTGGGAAACAACGGTACGACATTCCGTCTGATAAAAACCTGTTCTCATAGCAGGCTCGAACGCTCAGGCTGTTCTCGTTCCCACGCCTGCAGACCCCATGCAGAATGTGGTCCAGGTCTTGGAGAAGCAATACCTGGAGGAAAAGCGGACGGCTCTGGAGGAGCAGAGGTTGATGTACGAGCGAGAGCTGGAGTCGCTACGGCAACAGCTATCGCCTGATAAAACGTCACCATTCCACCGAAGCAGCAGCGAGCGCCTTACGTACCCAACACACACGCCCCACAGCAAACTGCACCTGTGGACCGAGGAGCGGTTAGTGGAGCGCAACACATTAGTTATAGCCCGCCTGACCCGACAGTACCCAACCGGCCCAGCTAGTGGGTCAAGGGTCGACCCATTCATTGCTAACTCAAACAGTCCCCTGACTTCACTGCCGCCGTCGTAACTTCAGTGTGTGTTTGTGTGTGTGTGTGTGTGTGTGTTTACGCAGGGATGAGCTGTTTCGTCAGAGGCTGTCTCGGCTCAGGGAGCAGGTCGTCAGAGCCAACACTTTGGTGCGAGAGGCCAACTTTTTGGCCGAGGAGATGAACAAACTCACCGACTATCAGGTCACCCTTCAGATTCCTGCTGCCAACCTCAGTGCCAACCGCAAGGTCAGACTTCTGAAGCCTTTTTTCTCTAAAAGATAAAGTGTGTGTGTGTGTGTGTGTGGGGGGGGGGGGGGGGCTACAGTTTTAAAGACGTGATCTTGTTGCATTTTGAGCTAACCCATTAGCGCCGTGTCTTTGTAGCGTGGAGCCATAGTGAGCGAGCCAGCCATTCAGGTACGGAGGAGAAAGAAGGGGCCTCAGGTGTGGACCATTGAGAAGCTGGAGAACAAACTGGTGGACATGAGGGACCACTACAGAGACTGGAAAGAAGGCAGAGAAGAATCGGTGAGAAACCATCGAGAGGAAAAGACAAACAAACCCTCATTATGATCGTTAACTCTGCTCTCTTTCTCGTAGTGGAATAAAGCGAACCACAAACACTGCGATCCGTTCTATGAGGCGCACGAGAACCACAACCTGATCGGGGTGGCCAATATCTTTCTCGAGAGCCTTTTCCATGATGTGAAGCTGCAATATGCCGTGCCCATCATCAGCCAGCAGGGAGAGGTGAGGCTCGCTGTGAAAGAACTAAAACTTTTAAGAACTGGAGAAATGCCATTTCTGTGAACATGAAGTGACTCCTGAGAGCTGAAGGACTTGCTGAACAAGCTGAAACTGACCTTTTAAAGCAAAAAAGAACACTAGCTAAAAGCAGCAAATGGTTAGCTAAACTCTAAATAAAAAAAAACTAAAAACCATCCATCCAGCAAAAGACTAGTTAAACTCTAAAAGTAGCATAATACTAGCTCAAAGCTAAAATAAGAAAAAATGTGAAGCACTAATACCTTAAAATAGCAAATGCTTGTTAAAAGTAGCGTAAGCTTAAAAAAAGCGGCACAAATTTAGCTACAATGTAAAAGTGGCAAAAGACTAGCTAAAAAAAGCATAATGCTAGCTGAAAGCAAAAAGACACAAACATGTAGCATAACACTACCTCAAAGTTAAAAATAGCAAAAACGTTAGTTAAAAGTAGCAAGTGGCTAAAGGCAGCAAAAAGTTAGCTACAAGCTAAATGTAGCAAAACACTAGCCAGACATATATAAAGGCAAGCTAAAAGCTAAATGTAGCATCCATACATACATCCATCCTTCCACCCATCCATCCTTCCACCCATCCACGCATCCACCCATCCACCCATCCACGCATACATCCATCCATCCATCCACCCATCCACGCATACATCCATCCATCCATACATCCATTCATACATACATCCATCCATCCATACATACATACATACATACATACATACATACATACATCCATACATACATACATACATCCATACATACAT